CGGCGCAGGCCCGGGCAGCCGCCCGCCACGCAGCACGGGCTCGCCTCAGCCCAGCTGTTGATCGCTTTTGTCTTTGCGCAGGGAAGCGCTCCCACGGACCGACGTGAAAATGCATCAGCTCTTCCCGGTCGCCATTTCCTGTTTCGTCGAGAAACCGCGTTGGCTTCGGGAAAGCCCCTGGGACTTGGGGCAGTTTGCATTTCAGAAGCGAGGGCGGCAAGCACGAGCGTTCCACTCGCAAGATTTGCTGCCCTCTCTTTCCTCCGAGTGCTAGAAAGCATTTCTTATGAAAACACTGACCGTGTGATACGTCGGCCCTGGTTCTGGTTCTCTGCCCCCTCATACTGACAGGCAATCTGGCTCTTGTCACAGCACACTTCCGCAAGGATGAAGAAAATAAATACCCAGTAAAAAGGGAGTGGATGAGGGCATTTGGGGAACACACATTGCACAGACCGAGTGACCTAGCTGCAGCGTATCTGCAATCCCCATGTTTGATGCCATCCGTTCCCTGGTTTGCAAACGCAGTCATCTGTATACCAGGCATTTTAATTCTTACCCCTGTAGCCCAACTCAGATGCTGATCAGCAGGAGACAACCAGTCAGGTGACAACAGCTGAAGTAGTGCTAGGTGAGTATTTCCTTACATGCCCATATTCTAAGCATGAAGGACATGAGCATGGCCCTGTAGATATCACAAGGGTAAGCCTGAAGAAGAATCTCCAAGAATGGAAATTCTTGGATTACATAGCTTATGCTAGCTGCCCTATAATAATGTGTTTTGGAAGGGTGCTCAGGCCCCAATCCAGCCTCCTACTCAGAATGGAGTCAACACTGAATTCATACCAGTTTTCTCAGGGCTTTGTCAGTCGGATCATAGACATCTGTGAGGACAGAGACCAGCACACCTTTCCCAGTCCCTGTTTCAGTGCTTGACTGGCCTCACGGGGAAACTAACTCCCCTCCCACCCCTTCTATTAAGTAGCAATCTGCTCTGTTTCAGTTCAGGACAGCCATCTCTCGTTCTCCAACTATGCACTTCAATGAAGAGAGGTTAGTGAGGAGAGAGACAGGCTCTTCAGTACCAGAAAGCAGCTATTAGGAGTGTCCCCAAAGTCTTCTCTTCTCCAGGCTAACAACGATAAAGGCCAGTCCTTCCTCTTGGGACAAGTGCTCCAGCTCCTCACCATCACGCTGTCCCTCCTCACCATGATGTCCCAACCTCGATACAACTGTACGGTAAGAGATTCTGTTAAAAACCTTGCCCAAGCCAAGGTAGGCGACATCCACTGCTCTTCCCTCATCCACAGAACTCAGTCATCTTATCATGAGAAGGCACTGAGGTTGGTCACACATGATTTACCCGTGATTAATCTATGATGGCTATTTCCAATCACTTTCTCCTTCATGTGCCCAAAAAAGGCATCAAGGATGACTTGCTCCACAGTTTTCCTCAAGAGAGCAAATTGAGGCTGACTGCCTTACAGTCCCCCAGATCATCCTCCCCACTCTTTTTGTAGTAACATCAGCCTTTCCCTAGTCATCAGGGATCTCCCCTGATCTCCATCACCTTTCAAAGATGACGGTGACCTCACTGTGACACCTGCCAGCTCTCTCAGTACACTTGGGTCATCCTATCTGGTCCCCCAGACTGCACGTGTCAAACTTTCTTGGTAACTGCTGACTCAATCGTCCTCCGCTACTGCTAGCCCCTCTCCTTGAACCCTGCCTCTAGGCAGAAAGGCCTGGGGAGTTCTTGTCAGCAAAGACCAAGACAGGGAAGGCATTGAGTACATCAGCCCACACCCCACCTCGCAGTAGAACATTTCAGCCTGTAAAGTTTCCAGCCCACAGCCAGAGTAACTGCAATATTAGCTGCATCCCTGCCTACCTGTGAGATAGCTGCTCCTCTGCAGAAGCTGAATGGGCAATTGACACTCCCCAGTCAGGCTCAGTCAAAAACCTTAACCGTAGGTTCTCCCCAGTCATGAAATAACCAAAGTAGGGAACAGACAGCAGGGGGTGTTTGAAGCAAAAGCCTCCACTGTCCCTCAGTGGGAAATACTTGTATGCTGCAGGTTGGCTAAGTATCATCCAGGCTGGCTACAACAGTGTCTTCATTAAAAATAAGTGTGAAGAGCAATTCTGCAAGTTTAGAAATTAAAATGACAACTATTCAGAACATGGTTGACATGCAAAAAGGTGAGAAGTCTGCATTCTGGACAGAGAGGTTTTAAAAAGACCCCACCCTGGAAGAGAAAGTTGGCATGCCTCAACAGCGTGGCAGCGGGGTTACCTGAAGCAAAAAGGCATTCTTCAAATAGCTGAAGTTCTGCCCAATAGAGGAGTATAAGGGAAAACAGAAGTGTAAACTGTTGCAGGTTACATATAACAAATAGAACAAAGAGGCTGAAAAATACTTTGAGGAACAACTTGCTAGAAGTATGAAAACTAGTAAATTCTTTTTCAAATACATGAGGAAAAGGAAGCATGCCAGAGAATCTGGCAATGAGACAAATCAAGATTAAAGGGATTACTCAGACTATACAACCACTGCAGAAAAAAAAAAAAAAAATCTGTTTTGTTTTACATCCGAATTCGGTGCAAAGGAACTTCAGAAGATTTCTGTGCCAAAAAAATTGTTTGTTATTTGATGAAGGAGGTTGTTTCATTGGAGGTTCTGTTTCACCCTGAAGAGTAGGAGATTAAGTTATAGCACAAATCATTAACACTAATACTAACAAGTCTCCAGGACCCAACTATTATCACGTCACCATTACAAGATAATTCAGAGATGAACTAGCTTAAATATCAAGTCTCTTGCTAAAAACTCATATGGCAGGTGGCTGTTGCAGCACCATTTTTTAAGGCAGGCATTAAGGGATTTAATAAAACTATAAACCTGTAAATCCAACATGAATTATGAAGCAAAATAAACAAAACAAAACCCCAAACCAACAAAACGCTACACTAAAACCCACACCCAACCAAAAACCAGTACGAGTGAACATGTAAATAAATAGG